GGGAATTCTGGGAGTTGAAGTCCGCACATCTTAAAGTGGCCACGGTTGAGAAACACTGCCCTAGACCATATCCTCCTGTCCATTATTTATTATCTTATTTCCATGGACGTCTATAGTCTTACTTTATAAGTTTATAGTGTGTTTTAAAAAGTTAAGTTTCTACAGTGCAAATCTGTAGCCTTATCTTATATTCCTGCTGCATCCCGAGATACTTCATATCTAAAGCCTTGCAAGAAAATTTTGCAATACATTAGATCAGTGTTTCTTAAACGTTTTGCTCTCAGGACGCCTTCCCGTTTTAAAAAATTAAGGAGGACCTCAAAAGAGCTTTTGTTTGTATGGGTTAGGTTTATCGATAAAATTGACGCATTCGTAGAATATTTATTTATTGAACCATGTAAAAAAGTAACAATATTTGACCCACATTGACATATTTTTCACGAAAAACTATATTTTTTAACAGATGAAAAGTAATAATGAGAAGAGGGATGTTGTGTTAAATTTTTGCAAATATCTTCAATATCTGGCAAAGAAGGTTGTTTTTGCAGATCCCTGAGAGGGTCTTGGGGGACCCCCAGGGGCCCTCAAACCACACTTTAAGAAACATTGTGTTAGATAAACAGTATCCAGAAATTCATACGTGGCAAATGCTTCAGAATTAGCAGTGTTGGGATCAATACAAGAACTGGCGAGTCAGCCTGACTGCGGTTTGCTCATGATAAGTGACATTTCTCCTTGGTGGACATTTGCAAACTGATGTCCTTATTTCACAATTCTGAGATTCTCAAGAGGACAAAATTCCCACTCTCGTAGTTGAGATCCTGCCTTTCTTGGTTCCCAAAATTCAGGTTTTAGGGAAACATGCATTCAAAAATGTGTGCCCTAGAGAAAATGCTAAGGATTCTTTCGGATTAGCAAATGCTAGAATGATTCAGCAAAGGCAGCGAGACTGGATCGAAATGTGCCTGTGCGTCTCTACTCAACGCAAACCTTAGTTATCCATGCAGGACTGATTCCTTAATGGTGAACCTTCTCACTTACTGAAGATTTCTCACTGATTTCTTGTCTGTACTGATTCTGAGGTTTTTTGCTTTTTTTCTTATTCCCCAGGGGATCTGGTTGCTATGATTTAAAAAACAGATCTGTCACTCAGATTTTCCCCATCTGTAATTACTACAGGCTGTCTTTTCTCTCTCCAAGTCTCTCCCACCCGTATCGTAATCCAGTAACTCAGTGTTTCTCAACTTTAAGAAGTCTGGACTTCAACTCCCAGAATTCCCCTGCCAGCTTGGGTGGACTTCAACTCCCAGAATTCCCCTGCCAGCAAGGCTGGCTAGGG